CCATAAATATGCCCCTCTCGGGACTATTGAAATATGTATCTAGAGAGGGTATTTTATTTATAGAGGGCAAAAATATAAAGCTCTTTGCATGAGCATTTATGAAGGACTGACTGTGACAAGTTAGTCGATACAGTATAATGATTATTAAGAGTTTGCAGCACATTTGAAAATTTTCGGTACACTATGTATTTATTTCTCCCTCTCGCACAATAAGAAGAAAAAAAATAACGTTAAATGAAGTTCCAACTTTAACCAGCCTAATCATACTTTTGAGCGTTTCAAGCATCTTAATAGCTTCATCTAACGGTAAAGGATGCTTAGGAAATAACACTTGCATAGGATCAGTTACTATTATAAATATAATATTAACAAATTAATAACATGAAAAACCAGAGACGAGAATTTAAAACCGTACATACAATTTTCGTAAAAAGGTTGTGGATCAACAATTGAAGATTTTGTTTGCGAATAACGTTCTTTACTATTTTATTATGATAAGAATTTAGAATATTGCATAATAATAACAAAGAATGTAAACTAAAAGTAATTATGTAGACTATCCTAGCGTCATCAACCTAAAAAATATCGTTATCAGCGTTAGGGTTACACTTGATTTTTGAAATTTGATTTTGCAAATTTTTTAAATTAGTTACGCTAGGATAGTCCGGTATATGTATCTCATACCAAATTTCAGGAGTGAGCATATTTTTATTCAAAAATTTTTCATCTTTTTTTTCAGTTTTTTTACGTTTCATTGGAGTATGCTTACTGGCAGAACTCATGAAATTTTTTTCATTTTTTTTGCGTTTTATGTGAGTATGCTTGCTGGCAGAGCTCATGAAATTGGTATTTTGGTCGCCTTGATTGTGGTTAGAATTTGACATGTTTAACCGAACAAATACAATCGACTCTCTTCATGATGAACTAGCTTTTTTATACAAAATGGCTCAAAAGATTTTATAATAATTTTACTTTGTTGCTATTGCACAATTAAATAATGGTTTCGAGTTGATCTCTCATTTAAAGAAACTGCCTTTTTTGACGACTTGCACAAAAAAAAAAAAAAAAAAAAATGCGAAAAAAATGTTGATTATTAATCGTGTATATGTCTCGTTATATCTCCTGATGTTAAAATGGAGAATTTGCGGCACAAGTCTTAAATTTCAGCGGCATATTTTAAAGTACCCAAAAAAACCAACAACGCCAATTTTCTTTTTCAATCATCATGTGGCTAGGTCTAGATTAATGATAATTTTAAAGCACGTAAAAAGGCGCATTTTAAATTAAACCTAATTTTTACATTTTACTTGTCATCTTTTTATGCCAATTATTCATCAATTCCTCATTTGGCCTTATAGTTTTGATTTTTCGGAATAACCTATGTTTTTTTTCTAATTGCTACATGTAAAAAAAATGAAGTTGAATAAATAAATTGTTGTTAGCGTACTAAGTAAAGTTATCCGGAATATCAAGATACATATATCTTAACAATTTCATGTAAATCAACATTATTGATAAATTGCGTTTATACGTATATACATATATCTTGATATTCTAATATCGCTTCTGATGTTTTAGAATGTATTTTAGAATCTAGATTTTATACTTTAAGAGGTACGTACGTACACACGTACGTAGCTTATTTCCGGAGTTTTGTTTCTACATTTCCTGTTGGTTACAATATACATTATCTTATCTTACACAATGACACGTATTATGAAGTTCCAAGGATTATTGTAAAAATATGACCACAAATTATTTATGGTAATTTGGCACAATTAAGAGTAATGTCATCTATGATGCAAGAGATCTAGGTACGTACGTACGTATGTACGTACGGGGTAGAACTTTAAACTCGTTTACTGCCCATTTCTATTTGTACACGGTGTGTATGTACTGTACATGGTTAATATAGAGAGCCAATCAATTACACGATCAGGTGTAACGTAAAATTATTGCTTTCTCCAAAATATTATCTATATCTTAAAATTTCACTTATGAAACCGCTTTTTGGATTCTAATAAAAAAAATTCCTTGCGAAATTTTGATAAAAGCTATAGCTCACCCACTCCCAAATGCACTCTTGCCCTAACCATAAGTAGGTGTTTAATTTTTCGTTTTATAAAAGTTTTGATTGGCATGTTACACTAGGGTGTTTATCAAACTAAATCAAACATTATTTAGGGTCGCATATGAAAAATTTATGAAATTCCGAAATTACTGCGGATAATAACAACTTTCGGTACAGTTTTCTTTCGAACTAGTATAATAATTACTAATTTAAATTTTTTTTTAAAAGATAAAGAACTTTGTGTAATTTAATGTAATAGTGAGATTTTTTCGATTTATTCCATTTTATAAGTAGTAAATTCTTTAACTAAATTCGACGAACGCAAAGCTATTAAAATTTGTAAAACCGAGGTTATTGTTGAAAAGAGCATAATAAATGCTATCGATTAAAAAAAAAAAAATAGGGCATAAAAAAATTGTATTTTTCGCTCAAAAAGTGTACGTACCTTTAGTTGTATTAAAAAAAGTATGATTACAATATTCCACATTTATCACTAATTAAAAAAGTTAATTTTCCGAAAATTCACTTTAACTATGGTTTGATTTACCGATCTGATGAACACAACTCAATACCCGTGTACATGTACAATATGCGCCATTGCATAATGTTAAAATATTTTTATCATTTATGGTGCCTATTGAGAAACCTTAAACAATGGGTACCGCCAATAACCACACAATAAAGGTGATTAACTGACTACAGTCACACCCGAACTACACCTCTTTATAGAAGTTAATGGTTATAGTATGAAGACTATGACCTTGTGATTTGGCTAGGGAATAGTGGCGTCAATTACACGACTTGTCAAGGAGGATTTAGAACGCTTTATCGAAAGAGGCAAAACGCTAAATATATATGAAGATACAAATAGATGTATAAAAAATATAATTTATTAGAGTTACAGGAGCTATTTGCGTATGAAGACACGATTACATATTAAATGGAAGCTCTAGTGGATAACTTAATCGATTCGGGGGGATAACAGGACTATTTATACTTTTTTTTTTTTGAACAAGGACTTACAACTCTTTGACTATTTACGGTTGATACTAACTTCTATACAATTCTAATCTAGTGAATTCAATGTGAACATAAGCCTTTCAACATGAGCACATAAAATCAAACAAGATAACATGACGAGACATGAGATTATTCATATGTAATCCTCAACGACCTGTCACTTCGAAATATTCATGATGGAACGATTACCTTTAACAAGAATAATTGGGTTTAGTAACTGACGATAATAAGTGAATGCCTTGTGTTCGGGATTAGATTGATGGTTTCAGGACTATTTTAGAGCGTTATCCGTTGGTTAATGACCACATTGAGTCTATTTGGGCTTGGATTGTTGAGCGATTATATCTTACGCGTTCTCAGTCGATCAATAGTATTGTAATCGTATGCGGTAATAAGGTATATGTATAGGGATATTAATATGGTAAATGTAAGATACGTACGTACGTATAAATATGATAATACTAAACCTATGTATGAACAAGAGAATAGAAGAAAATGTTCGGTAATACGGTTTACGGGTTTAAAGATCATCATATGGTGATCGGGTACATTTAGGTGTCACACTGGGGTTTTATGTAAATCAAATCTATATGTAGTCCTATATGAAAAACATATAGGACTACAACTCCAGTTTCACACTTCAAAATACGATTGTGATTATTTTTTTACTAATATTTATTTAATTTTATCATTGAAAAAATCCTACTTATTTTCGAAATGCGTCACTTATTGGTTAATTTTGAAGCTCCCTATTAATCTTATTTATCCATTTTTGCAGTTTTAAAAACAACTGGTCAATTAAATATTAATCCTAAAATCAAAGAATTAATTGGGGATGCCAAAAAGAAAAAATAATCTAGATTAAGTAATAGATCACAGCTGAAGGGTACGAAAAATCGGTGAAGAATTACTATTACTTTCATATCGGATCCTATCAATTTCCCGACAACACTTGCCCGACAATTCACTTGCCCGACAAACCTTTTCCC